TGTCCTTGGCATAAGGGTATGGATTGCTTTCTTTACCTGAGGGGATCGGTTTTGCTTTTATCAGGCTGATTAAGAAAAAAGACATCTCAAAAATGTACTTGTGCGTATTCACTGTTCTGCAGGGGACGGAGAGACCTCAGCGTGTATCAAACTGTGCCAGCATACTAACTGTATTGCTAGACAAAGTAAGCAGGTAGCAATAAACTACTGTTCTATAAGTAACAAGAGTCAGTTAAAGACGACAAAGCCAATGCAACCAGATTACAGCACCAAACCCAAGCTAAATGCTTTGTTCTTACTAAGTCAGGCTTAACTTTGCATTCAGAAACGTCACAATTTTTGCCTTCAGGATCCCTCTCAAAAGGCAACAGTACAGCATGATCTCAGCACGTCGATATTCTGCCAGCTGGCTGCTCCCCCGTTGCAAGGAACGCAGCTCATGTCTTGCATCTAGCTTGTTCCAGACAACACTACATCCTTTGAGAATAGTTTTCACAGGACAGAACCCCCAGGCAATTCAGATTCCCCCCCACTTGATCTCAGAGGTAATAGTGAACTGAAGTAAATAGTGAATAAAGATGGCAATTAAACTTCGTCAAGCTTTCTACTTCCTTTCAATTCCATATTTACTAACTCCAGCAAGGTTATGTGATTGAAGTCTATGTAATTCCTCTCTTTACAAGAGAGGATGGGAAACAATGCAGAATAAGGTCTATATCATTCCATTCCTTATTCAAGTACTGATGACGCAATTAAATCAAGTATTTTAAACAAGTCATACTGCATAAACACCTCACAACATATGCAACAGTTTTAGGGAAAGGTAATAAGGTTGTGTGGAGCAGTGCTATCTGTCACAATAAGGCAGAGATTAGTCAATCTCACCTTCCAGTACATATTCTTGTAAATGAACAAAGAAATAGGGGTGCAGATTAATTGCTATGACCTATTTTGGTTTTGTTTCATTTCTACAACAAAGGGTTATATCCTCTATAATTCATTCATTAGGTTTCTTTCATGAGTTTTACTCTTTATTAGAACAGTTCTACTATACTAAACCAGCAGAAAGAGCTGCACTGAGTCCATTACTTCATAGCTTTAACAGTGAGAGTGGAAAATAAGTGCCTATAGCCTCCCTCCAAGAAAACAGTATACGTTCTGTCCAGATGATAAAACTGAGGTGTTTAGAAGACAAGTCAAACAAGGTGAGGGGAGTATGGAGGAATTTTCACTTTTTCCTTCTGATAACTTCATTTGTCAACTACCAGCCAAAACCTCCACTCCTTGCTCAGCCTGAGAGCCCACCTCCTTCCTGCCAGTATATTTAATAAAAACATACAATGCATATTTGTGAAGGAGACATAACAAAATACAAGCCACAGGACTGCCCCACATGTATGACAATAACTCTTGTCAGCTTTTCCTCCTACAGAGAGAGAACGCGCAGGGGAACTGCACATCCATTGTAGGCTCTTGGCAGGTTCAACACGGAAACAGCTCAACACTTGGTGTCCTAAGTACAGCATTTTTATTTGTTCTTCCCTCCTCTTCATGCAAGAGTTTGTGCAACTCAGGACGTGCATGTACCCAACATTTATCAGTCCAAAATGAACATTTTATCAGATTTTTATTTATTTATTTATTTATTTATTTATTTACAAATACCAACCCACCCACCCTCGCAAAACATGCAAGTGAGCAGTAAGCCTGGCAAGACCCATTTTAATAACTGCATCTCAGTTTACGGCTTAAATGTCTGCCCACTCCCTTATATCTTAAGAACTTATCACAATAGTGTAAATAAAACTATGAGGAAGAAAAGATGTAAAGAATGCATTCCTAATGCTAACAGAGTACCAGCTAAAGAATGCTTTTTAAAAACAAAGAATGGTATTAAACAGAAAGTGAAGTAGTAATAAAGCACTAGGTAAGATATTTCTCTGTTCCAAAGCATTACAAGACTTTTCACCACTGCCAACAAACCAGTGCACTAATCCCCTGCAATTATTGTTCTTATAGCAGGTGGAGACCATAAACAGAGATGGAGAAGGAGCCTTTGCAGAGCAATTATCCTCCCACTCCAGGCGTTCTCTGTTGCTTTAACTCTGTCACTAGCGCCCCATGCAGTAGGACGGCACCGCCACACTTCAGGAGCTACACACTGCATGAGCCGTAGGCTGCTCAGGACCCACCTCCCAGAGAAAAGCAGGTTATCACTCAATTCTTGAAGAAGCTCCTGAAGACAGTGATGCAACTCTGTCCACTCGGAGGGCTTAGCCCAAAGTACCATTCGAGCCCCAGGTCTTTGGGGACTACTTATGTTTTCAGAATAAGTCAGATAGACCAACACCAAACACTTAAGGTTATATTATAAGAATAAGTGCTATTTTTTTGTTGTTATTTATTATTAGTAGTGTGCTATTACTCCATTTACTAATGCATTATCATTGTTACTGGGCAAAGAGCTCTACTGGGACTGGAAATTACAGAAAAATATTAGAGAAAACAAGTGTGAAAGCCCCAGTTCATTAAAGACTCGGAATACAAGCAGTGCTGTTCAAGAGCCTTTGGTAAGTTATGTGCAGCCCTCTCATGCCAGGCAACCAGCTAAACCGGCTGAAGAGAAAGCCACTTCCCCAGCCTGTGCCTACAATTCAGACAGTAAATCACACAACAGCAACAGCCAATGGTAAAGCTCAAGGTCTCTCAGATGCCCTGGTCAGTTGGCTTGTTATATAAAAACCACAACCTACCCTGCATTATGTTACTTTTGAGTGAATACAGAAGGTAAACTCTGTGTGAACCCAATAATAGATAGAAAATAAGACTTATATTGTGAGACACTACTCTGAAGAGAGACGTGGGAACCCAGGAACTAACCCCATATTCATTCAGTTCTAGATCTGACACATGCACCACTTTGAACAATTCACTCCCACCTCAAAACTTAAGTTTTTTTTATCTGTGCAATGATATAGGCTGCTTGCCCTGTCCTCACAAGCACGTGTTTATGTATGGAAACTGCCTTAAAAATGACAAGTGCATTTATTAGAATCAATTTAAATGTATGAAATAAACTGAAGGTACAGACAGGATATCATACTATCGGCATTTCTAAAGTTTCAACGGCACTTAAATAATGTTCCATGATATCACACACAAGAATCTAAGTAATTTTCGAGACAGCATAAAGCAATAATATTTGCAGGCAGTTTAAGGCAAGTTAATACCCAGCTTCCATTGAAAGCACTAAGCCTGCATGCCTAATTGCTCCAGGGGCCTTTGAAAATCCCAGCGAAAATGAACAATAAGCAGTAAATCAACCCTTTCAAAATGAAAGCAACCCCCTCCCCTCCGCTATCATAAGGTATTCCACAAAAATGTATTTCACTTACATAAACACATATTACATCACAACGGGTCAGAGCCAAAGCTACGCAAGGGTAATTAATAATAATATTTTTCAGAAATATTAAAATCTTTTATTATATAGTGTAATATGAATGGGGAAAGGGAGGATCATTACCATATTTCCCATCTATATGCCCATATTAATAGCAATTGTCAGACAAAGAGGGTAGCATTCCTCAGATTTTCCATTTGCCTACCCAAGGAAACGGGAGCACTCCCCTCATATACTATGAAAATGCCCTGCTGCCATTATAAAAGTCTAACTTGGTAGACACTGCAGCAGTTGAAACCAGATTTGATGGCATCGGTAAAAAACAATCTATTATCTTTGTAAAATTAAGTAATCAACAACAAAAAAATATTTAGGAAACAGAAGCTTCTAACAGAGATTGATTTTGCAGTATTCAGTGTCTCAATGGCTCCTTGGCAACACAGAATTAGACTCGGAGTACGTCATCATATGTAACTTGCTGCAGAGTAACCAGTATTAATTACTGTATTTTTGGTACTTGCTGACATGGGCCTCATTTGACATCATAAGAGGGAAGTAAAAATACTCCATTATCTCCTTTGCTCCTTCTTCGATACAGCCTTTCTTCTATGTTTTTCATTTTCCAGCCTATAAATTGCTTCCTTGAGAGCAGGTGAAAACTTTGATTCAAATTAATGAAGAAAGGAAAACAATCCTAAATTTCCCTGTTCAATAACAAATATCAATAACAAAGGCTACTCAAGACCATTTTCTTCCAGGACAAGCCTGCCATCAGGAAAGACATTTCTAAGAGAAAGGAAGATAAAGGAATCAACAGAGGGTTTCTCTACAACAAGAAGCTCACAAGGAAGAACTAGAGAAACAGAAAGCTTTCAGTAAGCTGAGGCTACTGTAGTACACTACATGGCTGCTTAGGCTAAATGAGACAAGTAACCTACTTGATTTTTGGAAGTGCTCAGATGAATCATAAGACAACATTACTTCATGACTGCTTTTCTTGCTAAAATTAGGTTAGTCTCACAAGTCCTGGAGGAAAGCCACATCTTTTATCACTCTAAGAAAAAAGGTTTCATATTTAAAAACATGCTGCTCTTTCCTCTTTTTCCGCATTGTGGAAACAAAACTCATTTTCCATACAGGAATTCTAAAGATAAAGGAAGTAGACCTACATTTTTAAAGTGGCATGAAAAAATTTAAGGAGGGGGAGAGAAAAAGCATTAGAGACTAAATTCAAGGATTTTAAATTAAGTTCATGCAACAATTCCCATCCATTTCCCTTCAAAGTGAAGTTGAGGTTTATTCTTAGACATTTTCTTTTCAAAGAAAGTGCAAATGTAAAAACAATAAAGGAATTAGACACTGGCTTGCATTCTTTAGGACTGAAGTAAAATGTAGACACGCACACATCACATTGTTATTAAAAAGTTAGCATACCTGTTACAGTAACTCAAAGACATTAAAAAAAATTACCTCCTTTACATGACCAATTCTAATCTCTATTTGTACATCAGCAATATATTTTCATCAGTAAAGTCATGGTCAGGCACACACATCTGTTCACATGTCAGAGTTCTGCCAGAGAAATGTATGAACTTACCTTGTCTTGGTTTTCCTTATTTTTGTAACACAAATTTCCAATCAAACGAATGAGATGAGATTTAAAACCCACAGCTGGATGTGAAATTTCTTCCTGCCCTGTCATAGCATGTGTGGCAGTGAAAATATTTACAGCCTGTTTCCCAGCAAGATGAGTTAATCTCAGGGTATCTACAGAAAGCAAGAATATTTTAATTAGTATCACTTTGCACAGAGCTTTACTACTAATTGTTAGGTTAAAAGTTAACCAATATACTTTCAGATATTCAGCAATATGTCAAAAGAACTTTGAAAGTTTTCTTAATTTGTACTAGTATAACCACAGAAGGCCATCCCAGCGTCAGAAGGTGTTTTTGCATCCTTTTATACGCACTTATGTATTTCAGACATGAAGTCTGAAGGCTGGTGCTATGGGTCTCTACTTGAAGAGTCAGAATTTATAGGCTGTTGATGATTCCGGCACCATAAATATATTTCTAAAACCTAGTTTTTTTAGAAAACTTCCTTTAGTTCAAACTTGTCACAGCAACACATACTAATCACAGAATTCCTTTTTTCTCTCTTCTCCAGTTTGTTCCTAGCTCTGTAGTATAAGAAAAGATTTTGAGTACATCTAGCACCTTCACACATCTTTACAAATCCTTCAGTGCCATAATCTTGTCAACTAAGAAATACTAATGTTCCTGTATGGGAAATGCTAGTTTACAGCAACTATGATTTTTTCTACTATGCTCCAGAGAGAAATCAGGGAGAAGGGTAACTGAAATCTGTGAAAACAACATTCCACAAAGAGACCACACCCAGAAGAAAAGTTGAAATTATGTAAACACCTGAGCACCCATACAGCTGAGAACCCAATTCACTAAAGGCTGTGCCTATATTTAAAAATTAAGAAGTGTTTCTCCTCTAAGCGACCTGCAATACTAATAACTGGCCTGGCATGCCATTGTCCCCGAATGCTTCATGCAACTTCTATTGGAACAATAACGATGTAGCAAAACCAGGTTATAGCACAGGGCAGTATTTAAGCCCTATGCTGCTTCTGCTCCAGATGTGACAACCACCATAGTGAAACAGGCACTATATTTCCTGGATTTAAATTAAAAGAAACTTCATAGGTCCTCGTATTACAGTTTCATTCCCAGATGGCTGATACAGGAGAAAAAAAAAAAAAATCTCTGTGCTGATAAAGAAGTAACTACATTTTTGGTAGTTTTTTTTTTTAATGTGAAAGTATAATAGGGCCTAGGGGCCTCCTGTATGAGAGCTGCCACTTAAGTCTGTTCATATTTTGAACTAGGAAAAACCAATCAACCTCCTGATTGTCCCTAAAAAAATGTCATCACAGAACAGCTTTAAACACAATCTACTTTCACAGAAATTTGTTTGCTTTTGTAAATTCATAAAAATTGGCAGTCTCTCACATCCTTCTCATGGCATTCACTTTGTGTGCATCCTTGCCTTATACTCTTAGCATTTTCCCCCCGCACAGACACATAAGAGGGAATTCCAGTCTTTCCAAACCTCTGCTTGCCCTTAAGAAGGACCCCTGAACAAAAGGATTAAAACCAAACAAACGAAACAGAAGACCCACCAAAAAAGTAAATAAAACTCTTCAAATTTTATTATAGTGCAGACAAAAATGCAATGAGCAATGCACCTACCTGGAAAGAGAGGTACAGGAAGAGGTGGAAGAAAAGCAGTCACCTTCCATGCGTGATGCCAACCAAGAGTGCTCCTCTCAAACACTGCACATCAACACAACACAGCAACTGCTCCCAGGATGTCACCCTTGCTCTCAACTGAAGGACACCTCTATCTGCCGTTCTCTCATTATCCCAAAGAGCAACTCTTCCAAAGTGCCCCTCAATCCAAAAGATCATTTACCTCCATGGTGATATTCCCCAAACACTGTGCAATCAAGCTGTTAACAGTGCTAAAGATATTAATAACACTGCAGTATTACTGTCTAACTTAATCCAACAATTACTGAAAATAGCAAAAACACACTCCGTAGTCGATACTTAAAAGATCATTCAGATATTTTTCAGATCTTTCCATCAATCTTTTAGTAATTTCCAGTAGGAAATGTCTCATGATATAAACTCAAGAACTACTTCATCAAAAGATCTATTAGATGAAAATCTTTTGCGCTATCTATCTTTATTCTTCTGGTCTTCAGAACTAAATACTGAAGGTGATATAACACATCAGTACAGTTTTTTTCCCTTTTTGCTAATCCAGGATTAAAGGAGTCTTGTAGCCAAAAGGTGGTCTTAAAAGAGAAACTATATGAGTTGATAAATTCCTGTTGGCTGAGGGCATGTGGGAAATACGTAGGATGCACATGGCAGCAATGTTCTAGCCTGCACCCGTGTTTCACTAGCCTGGAGACAGCTGGGGAGAAAAGTCAGTCCACACACAGCTAGAGCAAGAAGGACTGGCCTACAGGCTGCTAAACTTAACTGATCTGCAGCTCCTTGAAATTCCCATTTAAGTTAAAAGAGACTTAGACAAGCTTTCAGATGATACAATACATAAGGTTGAGTTTCCTCAAAACACACACACACATGCAACAAAATAATTTGTTGTTAGTCATCTTACTGTAAGCAATAAAACTATAAACTTGTCATCAAAAATAGAGGTTTGGTGGGGGTTTTGTTTTGTTTGTTTGGTTTGGTTTTACAGCAAGGACCCTCTGAACATCTCAAAATAATCATAGTTAACAGCTGTTTCAGCCTTTTTCTTTTTTTTTAGACAAAATACTACACATTTCTCTTTAAAATCCATAAAATTTTACCATTTTCTCAGAAAACAGTGGCATACATCAGCCTCAGAAAGTGCTAAGATTTAGGAAAGGCACAGGTATACGTACATGTATACTTCTTCCTCCTTCCTTCCCAAGTATATAGGGTCTCTCTGGACCATCCTGGCTTAATTTTCTTTGTGTACAGCCCTTTGCTTGCTGTTTCTTAGCAGAAGAAAGCTTCTTTCAAACTGACCTTTAAAAGTCACTGAATTTGGTTAAGAACATTCAAACTGTACTTAGTTTCAGTTTTCAGGAATTTGGGAAACAGAAGGGAACAGGCGTGGAAAAGTCCTTTTTCTACTGCTTGAGGAAATTCTTCCACGCACATTCAGCCAGTGGAAGAACATAGGAAGCAGCTGTCCTTTGCGCAACTCTTACTGCATAAATAGCACATTGCTGACAGTTGAATCAAGGCTCTGTTGGGTAATAGGAGCCAATAGAGCAAGTAGAGAAGCAGAAAAGTTCCAGGAACAAATAAATATTTGAAAATGTAGATTAACTCAATCTCCTATTTATTTATTTTATTAAAAGGTCAGAATCATAATTACCACCAGTTGTGTAAAATGTGTTTTCATTCACAGGGCAACATGATTTGGAGCAAGCCAACAGTTAATAAACCTTGTGGCTTTTCACTCACCTATGGCTGTTTCAAGCAAACCAGGCAAAGCCTGTAGATGTTCTAGCTGTCTGTTGTTTGATGTCATTTCACAAAGAACGTCAAGAAGACGAATTGTAACCAGTGCTTCCTGTAAATGAAAATTACATTTCTGAAAATGGCTTATGAAGGATACCATAAGAGCATAAAACTGACAATCTAACCAGAGGACAGGAACTCTCAGCACCTCAGGTTCTCTGCAGGCCTCCTAAACTGCCAAGAATAGATTTATATAAAATGAGGACATTTTTCTACAATAACAATAATGTATTACACTGCAGTAATTTCTTTTCTACAGTCAGTGTTATATGTGCCCTGCAAAATCATGGGGAAACTAAAACAGAGCCATAAAGGATAAAATTTTAACAAAAACACAGTAGCTTCCAAAAGCAGAAATGCAGAAAATTACTAGCTGAGAAAATTATTTCTGTATAAATGTTTTCTTTGAGTTTATTCAGTAGGAGCGTCCCACTTTAAAGACACAAACACCGCCTGCAAGACACCAATTTGTTATCCGCAGGAATTCTGTAAAGTTCTGTGGTCAAATGAACTTTGGCTGCGAGAATTTACATTATTCTTGGGTAAATAGGATTGGGATCATAGATGCAGCATTTTGGTTAGGTATGAGACACACAATGTTATTTGCATATTATTTATGCAGCCAGAGAACTATTTTTTCTCACAGACTATGTTGATGCGTGCTTATAATGACAATCCAGCACTTACAGAAACTACCTTGAGAGTGTATGGCATAATTTGGACCACCACATATTGCTCAAGAACCAGACTGCGACTGCAAGATGATTCCACATAAGGTGCGGTACGTAAAATGCAAGCAGCCTTGAAAAGGCTCAGACACAGGTCACAGTAACTATTCCTGCCTTCTCCGGTTCAGGACAGAGACATTTGCTTACCAACAGTATAATATTTTTGAATCCGTATAATCAATATAGCATAACTGAACTCATCAACAATAGTGTTCAGTAATTAAGTACTACGATTATATCCATTCTTTGCTCCTTTCTATGCTCCTGGAAGACAACAAATTGGTATAGGGTCCAGGTCCTAAAGCTGTATTTTCATTTTTTTCCTCACACAGGTATAGAAAGGTGCAGGTCTTGCCTTAAGTTAGTCAATAAATTGCTTTCAACAGCACAAAAACAGCTGAATACATTGGTCATTGTCCTGTTATAAAGTAAGAATACCCCAACTGTATTTCACAGACAGTAAAGCAGGTATTTACAATTTTAAAGCCATTTTGCATTGTTACAAGACAGTAGCTTAACCAAAAGCCTCTTCAGCTCATACACTTAACACTTACCTTTGCACAAGAAAAGGTTATGTGCTTTATAACTGTAAAGCAAACCAGTATCAATAGGCAACTACAAATCACACCAGTAAGGTACAACAGCCCTTGCTGCCTATGTGTACCCCACTACCCACGTACATAATGCAAGCTCTGTAGCAGCAGATACCATGAGGTGTGGCTTTTCCTTTCTCAGCCTTATCCTTTTCCACACTCGCCCCCCCCTCCCCCTTCTTATTTTAAGCGCCTTTCTTCACTGTCCTCTACGTATTTCTTCCCAGGGTTTTATACTACAATCTCCCTTTCTCTCATCCCACCACCTAGCTCAGTTCAGCAACTGTTTCAGCTAGATTTGAGAAGAGGAAGAGATTATTTAAAAAGCAAAAAACAACCCCTGTATTTGAAACGTGAAAGTTTCAAAAAACTGTTTAAACATCTCTGGTTGGGTCGTTCCCCCCCGCCAGCTTTCCAATTTTTCTTTTTTTTTAATTTTTTTTTGCCCTCCACCTGTACAAAGGAAAGGCAATAAAGGCAGAATACTTCCTTTTTAAGTTCAGCAACAAGATGCTGTTCAAACCCCAAAATATTTTGAAATCTGACAGCCATCTTGATGTGCATATAATGTGAAAAGTAAGTAAGGAAATAACTGAAGAGTTTTACAATAAACATATTTCAAGAGAGACTCAGAAAAGATATTCCTTATAAAGAGATGAAATAAGAACTTAAAATCCAGTGGAGGGTTTTATTTTGCAAGTATGGTTGAAAGTTAGTGAAAGCAAACTGATGTTGAAGTCAGGCTTATAATGGAAAAGCTATTTTAAACATTGGTTTAAGCACTGCAGAAGCATATGATTAGCTTTTCATTGGTTTGAGATGGAAGCTACAAGACCTGAGGTTCCCTAGGGAAAAAATGGCAGTGTCTACATATAATAAATTAAACAGTGGATGGGACACCCAGACAACATTTTGGGAGTCAGGCCAGTTCAAGGACTGCTCCCAAAAGAGAGTTTTCAAATGTGGCCTCCCAGTTTTGGAGGCTAAGACAGCTTACTAGTACAGACATAGCCTGACCAAGGCACTTGGTTTCAGGGCCACAGAAAAGTCCAGGCAGAGTTTAGTTTAATATCACAGATGTTGCCTAAAGCATTTTTAATGACAGACTTTACATGCACAATTGCATTTTTTTTTCAGTTAAGTACAACTCTTCTGCAAAAACTAAAATATTTTAATGATTGAGGAGAAACTGGTGCAATTTTTGATCATTTCTAATAAGAAAAGAAAACAGTTTTATGAATTTAAGCTGGAATTTCTCTTTTCCCATGGCAAGCATATGTTACGAATAAATGTATACAGACAATATGCATATACACACTTTTTAAAAACTATTCTTGTCATTTCTCTCCATTCATTCAGCTATTATGACTTATATTTTGTGCTCATTAAATGATCCGCATTTCCCACCAAATAGTGACACTCCATTTATTATATATCATGTTTACGTGAGAGAAGGATAAAAAGTCAGTGTAAAGCAGGGCAAGTTATACAGTAATATTCTCAATACTGCTGTCCCAGCACCTTCAAGTTGGACAGAGACCTCCTTCTGCTAGGCGCAAACAAATGTTTTTTTCCAAGAACTGAAACCACAGAATACTTGGAAAGTAACCACACAGGATAAAAAAAAAAGGAGGGGGGGAGGGGAAAGATGGAATTGTCTCAGTAGATGTCCTCTTACTGCCACGCTGATACCTTTTCCAGAAGCAGTCAATTAAGTTTTCTAACGTAACTTAGACTAAGAAGTTGGGGGAGGGGGGTGGAGGAGATGTGCTTCTTGGACAGATAAGAGATTGCTGTGTGGTTGGTGGTTTTTTTTTAATGCATCCAACTACCACATCCTCATGAAGTGATTTTTGATATCTTTTTGTAACACCTCTCAACATACATTTAAAATTCTTGTGCCCATTTAAACAAACAAAAATATCATCAAGTACAACACTGTGTAACATTATCATATAAAAGCATTTAAAGATCAATATTTTTTCACTTTGATAGTAAATTAGTTATGATAGAATTCTCAAGATTTTCTACAAATGAAATTATTACAGGTTAATTTTGTTTTAACAATAAAATACTTCCGACTACACATATATTGGGTAACACAATTTCAACATACCACTGTAGTCACTTGGCAAGATAGAAGCTAGATATGACTTTTTAAAATATCCTTTTAAGATATTAAGAAAATATGTTAATTACACTTCTGAAACCAAGTATGATTAATCAGTGAGAATCAGTGATTAATTAATTCTATGTTTGAGTAAAACTCACTAGATTTCTCAAGCTTTTAATTTTCTGGCTAGTTGTCTTAAAAAACCAACCAACCAAACAAAAAAAAACGCAAAAAACCAACCTCACCCCCAAATCAGCTGAAAACATTAAAACTTTATCTATGAGAGGGATCTCATATAGAGTCACTGAGACCAATGTGACCTGGCAGTGCCCACTCACAATACGATGATCTAACACAGCACAAATAAGGTCACTGCAAGTTATGGTGCAAGTTGCTTTCTGTATTCCCAAAGGCGTTGTTAGATCTTCAAGCAGCTTGTTGAAAGCAAGAGGAAAAATAGAACACCAGATTATTTGAAAAGACCTCTACCCTTAGATGGCCTAAACCTCCTTACTGCACTATATGGTGTGGCAAGTAGCCAGCAACTCTTGGATACTTCATAAGGAGGAAATAAAATAAGGCCATGCAGGACAGCTCTGCATCAGAGGTTCCCAAAGTGCAACCCACAAACCATCTGTGACCCATAAAAGCCTTCCTATTTAGCTTGCAAAGGGACTTCATTGTGGCCATCCTCAACAGAACCAGTTCATTAAGTCTGAAGCAATAACAGATTTCTTCCAAGTGGACTGGAGTTGGGGCAAGTGTCTGGGTGCTCAGGAGACAGGAGCCGTCTGCCACTAAGAGCCCAGCGAGCTCTGCAACTTGATGCTGTGGACGCTAGCGGGCCCCAGGAGTGCCGCCTTGTCAGAGCCATGCAAGGTCCACCAGACAGCCCCAAATCGTTGGGAAATGGGGAAGAGTCAGTAATGAAAGCCCTTGCTTGCAGGGAGGATCACTCTACATTTCAGACAGCTCCCCTGCACTGAGTCAATCACATACACACCACAGCTCTCCATGATCAGAACTTGATGTTTCAGGTCCCAAACAGATCAGGAACACCTGTTTTACAAGTAGCCAAATGCATTTGCAAAGAACTAGTACTTGGGACCTTAATAAATATTCATTATCAAGTTATCATCAGTTATTTAAATTTAGAAAAACCCCCATGATTTACTTATTTTAGTACTGCTAGGAAAAAAAATAATTTAGTCCATTTTTATCCCAATTTTAAGGGAAGGGAAGAGATGCTGCTTCCCAGCTATAAATAAAATAAATATTTTAAGTTTTGATTCATATTTGAATAAAATATAATTCACAACCCAAATAAATTATAAAAGCGATCCTTAGTAAGAACATAATACAACATCCAAACATGTACCAACTTGAACATTTTTAAAATTTTGAGGTCTTTTAACACTGTGGTAGATTTATTTCTATCTCAAAGTACAGTATTCTTTGTCATCCTCAAATTAAAAGCAAAATTGGCTGCTGTCTTACAGATTCTCCTGTGAACTCTGTCACTGATTTCCCAATATAAAGTAAACTGGGAATGTACACAAGTGCCACTTGGGTAATAGTGGCAACGAAGATTCACCACTTCAATTCTAGTACTATGAAGTTTTTTATCAGGCATACCTCATCTTCTGCATCTGCTGCAGAAGTTAACTTGAGCACAGCTTCACGCTTCTCTTGGAAACAGCCTGCAAGGAAGTCAGCATGTCTCATGAACACATTCATTTCTTCACTAGTAACTGGGTTCTTCTCACTTATTTCCGCCATTATCAGCTCTAACAAAGTAACTCTAGAATTGGAAAACAACTTGTTAATCAAATTCACTAAGCTATATAGAATTATCAGTAGAATAAGCAGATACAGTTGTTAAAAATGATACAAACAATTAGCATGCTAGTAACAGAGCTGATTTTTAAAAATTAAGAAGTCTTATGAACACTGGCAATCAGTTCCTGTTTGCTGGTTTATTTCTGCACACCATTAATTTAATTCATCATTCAATTAATACAATCTGGCCAGACAGTCAAGTCAATATTTTTCTCAAGTCTATTTCAATTTCTAATTTCTTATGTCCTAACATAACATTACTGTGACTGCATATTCCGTATGTGTAAAATTTCCACCAAAACAGCTCTTAAAAGCTGTTGTTAAGTTCAGCAAAGTAAACACAGACTATTCGACAGCTTCCGTTTGAAAATACCAGCTTTTCACAGCCCTTGCCTTGCACGCAGTCCTTCATTAATTCTCCTCCCTAACCCCAAACCAATTCTGAGCAGAAACAGGGGAAATAAAACTTGATATGCACACTCGGTTCTTTACAGCTGTTTTATAATTGCCACTAGATAGACTACAGTAAATCCAAGTTAATTATTCATATCCCCAATAAGAGTTATTCATTGTATTAAACCAGCAAGTAAGTGGATACACAATGAAGCTGCTCTATAAATGCACTTGGGTCATTTATTTTAACAGCTTTAATGTCGTTTTATTTCCAATATCCTTTCATGTTGTTAGGGCGAACTGGGAGTATTTTGTGGAAGCAGGACTTTAACATGGCAGAGGCCCTCCTACAGCTTCCCTGTTCAACTCCAGCGCAGAGGAGCACATGGGTTAGTGAAGTCCCACTGTAATTCTCTCAACCTGAAAGAGAGCTATTTATTGTATGAATTCAAGAGCAGGCTCAGGGTTTTCTTTCACTAAAATATTTGCAATTCAGATGGAAGGACTGACATTTAAACATGTGGAATAGTTCAAATGCTTTTTCTTTTTTTTTTTTAAATTTGCCAAGCAGGTTGTCACAGGGAGAAGAGAAATGTCTCTTTCTGTGGAAAAAGCACGGTCACTGCTTTATTAACCTCCAAGAACCCACCCCTATTAATCACGTAACAGCTACTCAGTTCTTGCTAAACTCAACACTCAATGTCGTTAATACAGCTGCATTAAACAATTATCCGAATGAGGACAAAAAGCTTTTTCAACACGGTAGCACAGAAATGCGCTCCACACATTTGGGAAAGGGTGGACTCCAGACAGAAGGCTGTCAAACACTGGTAACCTCTCTCACAGGCTTTGCTTACGTATGTGACGGAGCACCGACACAGAACAGTCGTTCTGTTTGTTCTGCAGGTTACAGCTGGGTATCACACGCTTGCCCATCTACAGCCTACCAGAGTCCAGTTACCCAACATCCCTAACGGAACGAAGGTTTTCAGATTTGGCATACTACACAAAAATCAAGTTAAGTGCACAGACGTGTCATTCATCCCTAAGACAGGGCTAGATTTTACATGCCAGTTTTTACCAAGTTTAGAGCCTTTCAAGCATATACTCAGCTAAGAAAACAGGCTGCTCGCAGACTTCATGATTACGGGAATTATTCCAATAAAACGCTATCTCCTGCGTAACAGAATTCCAGTCAGCTATTGTTGCGCCAATGGTCCAAATACACGTTTAACGACAACAAGGAATCCTTCTGTAAAGAAGTTGGAGGTTCACCACATACTTGCATAAACTGTATTAGTGAGATGAAATTATTGCCAATAGGGGAATATTTTCATAGCTCTTCCTCTTGCAATATAATTGGGTGCCCTTTTAGACAACCATAATCCTTTCAGAGCAACAGAAGTGACACTAAAACACCACTTGTATGTAATTTCTTTTAAAGTTTTCTGTTCTCTTTAGGCATTCATGTCAAAACTGTTTTCCTGAGTTTTCTTCCAGGCACAGTCATTCAGGGCATGCCCATCTTTCCCCTGAATTTCAAGCAAGTCTTGCCATTCAGCCAACAATTTCCTGAGAGCAACGCTTTTTGTTCTGGTGCAAGTTCCCTTACATTCCTTTCTTCTATTGTTTCTCTCAGTTTTCTTCCAAGACTCACCCAAATTTTTCCAAGTTAGTTCTCCCACACAATACAATTTGCTCATTTCTTTTGAACGATCTCACAACTGTTTAGCCATTCAGGTGACAGCTTGTTCCTGCTTATTTGCCTATAGCTAAGTACAACAGATACGACAACTGTTAGTACCAGTTTTAGCATGTCTCATCATGAATTTTTGTAACACTCAGTTCAATATCTAAAATATAATTTTGTATATTTATGATTATATTTCTATTTCAAAATGATCATGCTGTACGCGTCATCTTCCTTTTCTTTAGGGACCACTTAGGAAGACTTTTTGTCGCTCTTGCCTTTTTCCCCCCGCCCCAGCGAAATTTAAACTAGTTCTTCCTGAAGATGACCAAATTGGCAAGAACTTAGAACAACTACTATAAAGTCTTTACAGTCATCAGTAAAACACATTGCTGTCTCCTGTAGTCTGCAAATAAACCACAGCATGAAAGTGCAATTTAAATCTGGAAGCTCATTATTGCAAATTAAAGTGAAGTCTTGATAAGCCTGTCTAAAAATAGTATTGTAAAATTCTATCGATTGTATTAACACCAAACAATTTTTGTATCAAGTGTGCTTGGTTTATAACCTCTTAGCAAGTGCCAGACACTTGGGACATTCTCTCTCTGTGACTGGGACTTCTCTTTCCTGAAATGCTTCACTGACAGCAATGGTTCTCTAAGACAAATTAGGTCCTTCCTCGAAATTTTCCAATTCTTTCATCTTCGAACGATACTTGTAAGCATCCTATTAAACGAAAACTGGTAAACTTGTGAGGGACTATAATGCAACACTACCTTCAGCTATTCTGTGTCTGTGAGCATTACCAAGAACAAAACCCCACCACAACATTGACATTAGCAGCCCTGTAGCTGAACATAAGCAAGAAGCGGTGCTGCTTACGCTACCTGAGTGCCCATTTCCCTGCTGGTAATTCAATCAATGGCTACATCATTCACTGAGAATACTTCACATGAAATAACACAAAAATCAAAACTAAAGATGCAAGTAGTTGAGCTTCCTAAAAACACCTGAAGCTATTCCGTTGCATTTTTGTTGCTGTTAAAGCAAGACCCCTTCTTAAAAGGGACAATAGAGATGTCCTCGTTTTGAAGATTTTACAATGTAATTAAGACTATCAAGGCATTAACTTCTGCCAAATACTTGCACACACGTGCAGGGAAATCTCAAATTTGGCAAAGAATTCAAGAATCTACAATCTTTTAGCTCAATATCGTAGCCATATGTTTCTGCAATAATCACTTGCAGAGAAACAGCAGGCATCATCACATCATCATACACTTTTCAAAGCCAGAACACCATTAAAAAAGCTGATCATATTATCACAGTATTTATTTCAGGCCATTTGCAAACTCAGACATGCAACACCGAAGTGCCTAAATTTGTTTGGAAATGAAAGAGAAAGTTGTCCAGAAGTCAGGAATTTGTCTTTTAATTGAAAATTCAGATTCCAGATCCACTTCTGCAACAAGAACTATTTCACGGCACACACCATGGCCGCAGTATCACAAATGCACTAGATGTCAATTACAGGAAATACTTTGAATAGTGCGAATACTGTGAATAGTGCAAATAACTGCGGTTATGCAACTGCATATACTTTGGTTATCTAAGGCAACTGCCAACTTTAAGAGTCGCCACTAATGTATGTATTCGCAAACTTTCTCAGCATAGTTAATTTTGTTTCAGTAAATACATCTAAAGTAAGTGTACTTAACGTGCACGATAGAGAATACTGTAACTGAGAGTTACCATATATTCATGAGCTCAAGCTGCTTTCCCCAGACACCTCAATACCACATCTGTCCTTTCTTCATTTATATGACTTAGTCAGCCTTATTGGACACCCAATGCGGCAACTCTTGCGGTGAAGGCTCCTTGTCTCGTTTTGAAACAATGAATTCCCTATGCTTTGGTTTATACGGTTACTTTTTTCTCCAGTTAATGACAGTCAAAATGTTTTTATCTGAATTGGATTTGTCTCCTCATATATCTCAAAAGAATGCATTCTTAAATATGCTAACATTATATAGGAAGATGCCACAGCAGGGTTTTCTTCTATAACTCAGATGCAAAAAGACTATTTCTGCACCACTTACTTCCATATGTTTGACAGTAAATTAAGCAGTATCAAATTCATAATAAACCGTACTGTGATTATGTTTTTGAAAAACTTAATTGAGTTTACTTGATTTGCAGAACTCGAGATAATAAATTCAGCAAATATGCTGTGTCTATCCATCCCACATGTGATCATCCGTATGATGCCTACACCAAAAGCCCTTCACTCGAAGTAGCCGATCGTCATCTGTAGCATGGTGTGTGCAACAAATCCAGCTGAGACCTTTCTAGAAACTGATTGCATCTATTGCTGTAAGTACAACTGAACAACCCTGGCTGTCCTCAAGGGGATTACGAAAACATACAAGCTGCCATTCATGACATCCCCCAAAATAATTAAATCTACCTCATTCACTTAAAACAGTCTTTCCCGCTAACTAGTTAAGGAGCACCGACCTCCAGGCACAGTAAGCACACAGCTCATATTCGTTCCCATTTGGTCAGCCTGAATAAAGGAAGAAGACAGTATTTCCCTCCTTATCATTCCCATCCCGTGTTTTCCATCCCATACCTATACATTAATGATATTTCATCTATGGTTCTTAACCTATCATATACTCTTTCTTTGCCTGCCATCCCTTTTGTTTCTTTACAATCTCTGATCAGCATCAGCACCCCCATTTCTAATAACACTGTGGCTTTAGTCACAGCAAAAAACACAGAAAAAAAAAACATTAAGAAAAAAACAAAACCAAAACCTTCTTTGTTTACTGCTTTGTCTTTCACTTGCAAAAGCTATAGGGGGAACTTGCAGTTTCCCTGGGTGAATGGGGAACAAAGTAGCCATGTTGAATACACAGACCAGATCAGAAGATCTTCAAGCAGCTGGAGGAGCTGAAGAATTATAGCACAGGATTTCCCAAAGTTGATTATTCTAACAAAATAATTTTTTATCTTCCCAGATTATTTACTGAAGCAATTGTAAATGAGCATTTTCCCAATTACAGCAATGGCCATTTCCTATCAATTCAGCATACAGTTACTCAAACGCTTGAAGGAAAACTAGCTCTTTTCTTTCAAAGTGAAGGTTTTTTGAAGCATTTTATATTTTCAATAGTGGAAATGCTAAAAGATTAAGTAATCATAGGCATCTGCACATCTATGTTTTTTAGGTTCTGCTAACCAGTATTAGATACACTTCCAACTTTAGTAAAGGCTTCCTTTTAATTTCTTGTAATTACAACAGGAGTATGAACAGCTGAGGACATTTAAAATACAGCTGTAAAACACTGCAGGGTGTGGTGCTCTTACGAAATCAAGACACAGGCATGAAATCTTGTCTTTTTTTTTTGGGTTTTTTTTCTTTTTTTTTTTTTTTTCTGAAGTATTTCTTTACTGAGTAATGGCGCCAACCTGGATTCTGCAACCCTACATAAATCACTGCCAGTTGTGGCTAAGCTGTAATGTTAACCAACCAATTTAAAACCATTACTGACATAGAAACATGTATTTAGAGATTTTGTGCCAACTATGAAACCACACAGTTTTTCAATCATGTGAACAGGATACTCTATATGGAATGCTAAATACTAAAAGCCACACTGGTTTTTGGGGTTACCTTTCTTGATTGCTCAGTTTGGCATACAGGGCTTTTACCAACTCTGGACATTTCAGCAAATGGTCTGTAACAATCAAGAACCTAAAGAAAAAAAAAAAAAAAAAGAGAAAAAAAAAATTTTTTTTTTTTTTTTTGGGTTTTTTTTTTTTTTTTTTTTTTTTTCTGAAGTATTTCTTTACTGAGTAATGGCGCCAACCTGGATTCTGCAACCCTACATAAATCACTGCCAGTTGTGGCTAAGCTGTAATGTTAACCAACCAATTTAAAACCATTACTGACATAGAAACATGTATTTAGAGATTTTGTGCCAACTATGAAACCACACAGTTTTTCAATCATGTGAACAGGATACTCTATATGGAATGCTAAATACTAAAAGCCACACTGGTTTTTGGGGTTACCTTTCTTGATTGCTCAGTTTGGCATACAGGGCTTTTACCAACTCTGGACATTTCAGCAAATGGTCTGTAACAATCAAGAACCTAAAGAAAAAAAAAAAAAAAGAGTGTTACTGGTGCTACAAAAACAGCATCTACATTGACTCCAAATGGTGCTGATTATTTTTACTTGTAGATGACCGTGTGACATGCTTCTGATCCTATTTGCTCATAGATACAAATTGTCACAAAATAACTGCACATTGTTCTGCAGTATTTTTCCTAATACAGCAATGGCCATTTCCCATCAATTCAGCATACTTTCACTCAAATGCTTGAAGGAAAGCTGGTTAGTCTCTTTTGCCAGTTATACAAAAGGCACACCACAATTCAAATAATAAAACACTCATCCAGTTGTTCATGCATCTCAGCAAAAAGCCAAAGTTCAAGCTTGAAAACTACTATGCTACTTGTCAAAACACTGTTTTTAAGCCCACCAAACAGTCAAAAAAGTGCCCAAATGATTTCTCTTTTACAGAAATTCTAATAACGCCTCAAAGCAAATGGAATCTTCTTTGTCAGATGCAAGACAGTAAAATACTGGTCTCACAAAAAAATACCCTCCTTGTGTAACAGGAACCTAAGCTGATAACCAAATCTAACTCTTTGCTCTACGAGGCAGGTAGGTATGGTCAGTCCACCCTTGTGCTAAGGCCAATATTTACACTGACCACTTTCCCAAGCACCATTCGCAGCAGTCAACAGCAGATGCTAGTCATTTAATTTCAACCCAGATGTACTCTCAGCATTATGGGAAAAAACAAAGTATGTAAAATTATTTTTCTCCTCAAATTACATTCCTAGGAGTACTGACAGTGTCACATATGCTGCTAAGCTATGCATTTTTAAAGCAGCGTGTCTATCTACTAAATATAAAATAATTACAGGTCAAATCTCAGAGCATCCTCTGAGCTGATGAAGCTCCTGAAAAAGAATAGCTAACATAATACGAAAACCAAGTGATTTCAATATTCCCTCCACCTCCTCCCTACTTTTCACTTTGCTGACAGCCTTTTATTTTGTGTATCCATAATCCACGACATAGCTAACAGGAAGATCACATAGAAGCCTTCCAGCTGCAACAAAGTATTTTTTGGTCAAATACTCAATGACAATTGGGGAAATAGGAGAACAAGAGGTCCAAAAGATTAATAGCTATTATATTTCTAACAGTAACTGTGGACTTAGCCAGCATCTGGTTCAGTTACCGTAAACTAGACATTTTTAACTGGGGGAGGGAGAAGAAAAGCTGTTTTGTGCTGTGCTTTTTTTTTTTAACTGATATTTGTACACACATTCAAGGAAAAAAATAGCATAGGGGTAGGGAACCATCAACTTAAGATTGGCACTCGGAGCAGCGAAGCACTGATTCAAGAGTTTCGCAGCACAAATTTGAACCTACAGACTTCCCCAAAGTCAACAGCACAAATGTCTTCCAACTGAGCAGTGCAGACTCAGCCATAACAACTGAATCAAGCTATCAGCAGGGCAGTCAAGGGGAACACTTCTACAGTTCCTGAACCAACAATTCACAGCATATAAGCCATCCACAGTTAAACCTTCAGAATGGTAACAACTGACTTTATTTTTTAAGCATTTGAATAGAAACAAAGGCTTTTATCTGGAGCTGCAAAAGAAAAAAGCATAATAATCAGAGTTGTGCAGAACACAGTACTTAGCCTCATAATGTACAAATTTCAGATCACAATGAATTATGGTAAAAGAGCATTTAAAGAGACAATCTGAAGCCCAAGTTTTCAATTTTGCAGTTGGGACTATGAATTTAGATCTTAATTTTCATGATTAACATTACTTTGAGGAAATCTTCTTGCCTTGAAGTTAAAAAGCAATCAATAATTATCACAAAAAGATCTAATGCTAGTAGGTGCACATTAGTGATTACTATTGCAAAGCTGAAGACCTGTACTTCAGTCGTTACTTGGGTCTATGCTCTTGTATTTATTCACACACATCTTTCACGCTCTGTGGACTACACCTCTACTGCTTGAGGAGCTTGTAGCATTTCAGAATAACGTTTCTGCTTATAAAGGAGCACAGACATCTGTATATGTTTCTTACCCTTTTAAATTCATGACATGATGTAACACCTCAGAAATTTCTGCTTCTGTATTTAAGTTTCTCTTTTACCTTATCCGCTTCCTGCATTACTGTATCATAAAGAACAGAGCACTAGCATATATTACAAGAGCACCACTAAGAGATAACAGAAGAATTAGTAGTGGAATAAAGCACTTTCAACTCTTGCTACCATGCTCAGAAATTCTGGTGGTAGTTAAGCAAGGATGCAGCAAATTAAATCTAATATCTTTAGTCCTCAGCTCTCCTGTTTTTCATTTGGGGCAGGGGAGAAGAAGAGGAAAAGTAAGACCATCCACAGCTCTGAAATGAAAAAAGACATTCAGTTTTGGGTTACTGACTGAATATGGCATTTCAGATGTACACAAAAGGCTTTGGTAAGAGATTTAAACTCTCTTTGGGGGCCAACAGCAGAACCACTGGGATAAACTGAGGACCACTGTAATTTAGTGAAGGAAATGGTGAAAATTAAAGTTGTTCTGCAAGCGTAACACAGTAACAAATGAACAGTGTTAAATATGCCAATTTTCTTGACTTTTTAAATATTGTTTGGCTAAAATCCTAAAAAAAAATCAAGTGCTTACATAGTAGATAAATACAGGAGATGTTCAGTTCAAAGACTTTACAACAGCACAAGGGCTGCATTGTACCAAATTGAACTTGAGAAGCAGCCAAGATGAAATGGTATAAGCCACATTTGCGCTCAGTATATTTCAAATGACCACTAAGCTTGCTCCAATCAAAGACGGGTGTAAGCAATCAACTTTATCATCAAATGTCATGCTCCATATTAAGTTGATTTGATCCCATTAGCAAGTTTAGACAACAGTGTCCTCAGTCTCAGAAAATTAGGAAGAAAACCCCCACAAATGTTTTAGAAGAAAGAAGACGACATGGCATTCTCTACTTGATCAGCAAACTTCTCTTTCAATCTCAAAACCAAAAGCATTTTTCATCATCCTACAATAATGCCACTCTATCCAAAATATTTAGTAAGAATGAAATAGCTATTTTTACTGTAGTTTAACAAACAAATGTAAGAAATCACCCAAATTTTGAAGAAAAAAAGAAGAAAATTTAGACAGCTAACCTTTCAAAGCCATATCACCGGTCTTTTTAGATGCTAAAAAAGCAATATGCCCCATGAGGAACTGTTTGGGACCAGAATATATTTTAGAACCAAGTATCAAGCACCACAATACTCCTCTCCTGAGCGGAATCAAGCACAACAGTGAACATCCTTCCATCTTCGAAAGGCATTACCCATAATGAATGCATCCTCCTTACAGGACACAATACTGTCCACCAAGTCAACTCACAGGTCTAGAAGACCGAGTTCAGATTACCTGTAATATTTCTCTGATTCAGAAGACACTCTCATTCAATTTGATAGCTACATCTGAAAGACACTAGAAAGAGATTTATTTTTACTTATGGGCAAAGTTGGAATAATTTTTTTCTGAAGAGCTACCAAGGAAAAACTAGAAGATGATCAGCAATACAATTGCTTCCTGCTCCCCCCTCTTGACAAGATCCACAAGAAGAAAGAGGTGATAAGATAAATAAATGTGTGAGGCTGGGCTTTGAAAGATTGGGGGAATCTGTGCCAATACACTGCTACTACAAACAGAAAGTAGAAGCTACTCAGATCTCTAAAATTAAGGAAACTTTTCCAATTGTCAGTACTATTTAAAACCACAGTTGAACTTGGAACCTGCAACATAACTCCAACTTTCCTGGAATTAAAAATAAGAATTACTTTCTGGATAGTAGAAGAAGGGGGTGGAGGACACCCTAAACTGTCAGAGAGAAGAAACAGAGTTGCCAGCCCAAAATGAAAAAGAAAAAAAAAAAAAAAGGTAACATTTTCTGGTTTCTGTACCACATGCGTACCAATTAAGCAACAAGCACTCTACTGAGGAGTTCCATCTTTGCCTTTAAATTTGTGCCCATGGGCAAGACTCCTTGCCACAGGAGCACTAGTTTCTGTCCACACTTCTTTCCATAAGCCAGGACAAAATAACTAAAGGCAAAAAATGGGGAGGGGGAGCCCCACATCCTAATCTTTACAGTCATCATTGAGCTGTGGTTTCGAAAAGAGAAAGTGGATGTTCAGAAAATCTTACTTCCAATGCCAAACAGCTGACCACACTCTTAATATCATTTTTCTGGAAGCCAAAGGGCATATTACGCTTCTTATTTTAAAATGGAGAATTTTTTGTTCCTTGCTCTTCAGGAATCAAAAATACAACCTGTTTTTTCTTTCCATAGTAGCTACACTGCCCCATGCACACACTTGGAAAAACTGATGACACAAGCTATACTCTCATCTCTAATGGAACCACCAAAGTATTTCTAAAATAAACAGCTTTTAGAATACACATTGGTCTTGGTTAGGATAAATTATAATGTAATTTTGTACTACTTTTTCCTAATTATTTTACAAAACACATATGTTTGCAGGTTCAATATTCTAAAATAGATCTCGTGGCATTCTGTGCTGGTTTCTCTTCTAAATACAGTAGCTTCTAAACTGTGTGACACACTTTTCTGCTGTTGATTAATAGAAACCCAAAAGGGAGTGGATGTGGATGTGTAG